AGTTCGAAGCTCCAAATCTGTGACTAACCCGACCGAGCGCCCAAGCACGCTAGGCTAGTTGCAGCAACTCCCGGAAACTCAAACTTCGAAAAGCTCCCAGCAAAATGACCAACCTTCCGCGGTTCCACCAGCGCTACGTCCTACTCTACGTGAACAACAAGGGACCAATGAGACACCATCGATAATAAGATTTATGCGAGTGATCTCAGAGACCACAAAAGGAAATGAATGGCAGGAGTTCACTTGTTATGATTAAGCACTCATTTCGGTTGTTCGGGCTTGGATTTTTCGTGCGAATATGCAACGCTTCCAATATCTTTGTGGCACCGACTTCATCCCCGCAGGCTAGGATTTTACATTCGATGTCGAAATCACTGCCTTGAAGTCCTTCTAGTCGGTGACTCCCAAGTGGTGTTGGTAGACTTTCACGCTCTTTCCTGCTTGGTGTTCTTTGATGCGTATGCCGAGCATCCTTCCCGTCTCACCAATACAGATTTCGCCACAGAATGAACTTTGAAGTTGATAAACCGTATTTGCAATCTCCGTCTTTTCCAAATGGACAAATGACGCAGTTATCCGTAGGACACGCACGGCCTCCCCTAGTAGTGCTGAACAATGGTGGCGCAATCGGTGGGATGGTGGACTGGCAAGCATCACATCAAGGTTCGACTCCTTGGTGAAAGTGCTCGTTTTGCTTTTCAATGAATGTGCTCCAAACGCTTGCAAAACTTTTTGGGCTCTAGGAGCATATAAGGAGCTCCCTCACTATATAGGACGACTGAAGAGGTATTACAAGGGAAGTTTTTCTTGCTCCTCACCGACTGAATAAGGGTGAGCTCCACCCAAGCAGAGCAGGAATTCTAAACATCACTCAAAAAAAGCTCTAGAGGCTCCAAGGAGGAAGAACCCAGATGTGTGATTGGGTCAAATGCTCTTCATCATGTTGCCAGCGAAATAATTCGGCCGAAGGTGGTGCCATCGTATTTGATGGAGGACTTTCTTGCAGCATATCACGTGAGCACCATCTAGGAGGGAACGGGATATGATAAGGAGTTTTCTAAGCATACATTTCAGGCTATGAAAACAAGTACGTTAACCACTGCGAGGAAGTTGAGTCAGTGAAAAACGATAACAATGATCCTCTGCGGTCGTGTGATAATAACAGCGACGATGGACCAATGACTTCGAGAGAGAAACCTATTACGTTTGTGGGAATATAGAGGTCCCAGAGAGGGAACGCGGCCTCCATCTTTGTGATCTGTCCGTGAACTTCAATTTTATGGCTGTCATACATGAGAAACACGTATTGTATAATCACGACAGAGCGCCGTCTACGGAAATTGTGTGGGAGTGCGAGAGGGCATGAGCCTTCGAATAAGTCTCTTATTGACTACTTCCGATGTCTTATGTGGTTGCAACTATCAGGTGCAAAATAAGCGGACCGATGGAGATTAGCAAATAAGTTGGAAGGATAAGTTAATATAAAATTAATAGAAACCTCATCGCATTCAACTCAGCAGTGAAAACCCATCGGGGATAAATCCAATGCAAGGCTCAAATAATTTCAGGATTTGTGTACGGCCGTAATATCATGTCACACCGCATCGCCACGTTTACCTTATGAAAAGGCTTTCGAGAGAGCGTTCATCTCAAGAATTAGCAGATAATCATATATGCACACAAATAGATGAACTATTGTTCCACAGTATTTCTTCAACAATGTCATTTAACGTGCGAAACCTCATCGAAGGTGCGGGCAGTATTTCAAGGATGTGTGGACCGTATCCCTCCCAAAGAGGGCTCTGGTCAGATGAGTCATTCGATCATCCCCTGCCGTAAGTGCAGTAAGCTGCCGGAAATTTTGAAACACCATCTAGACTGTTCGAGTGGAGAGGCATATCTGTTCGGTCAGTAGTGGTAAAAAAAATTCGTTGGACTACTATTCCGAGGAATCCTAAATTGTGAGGGAGCTCCGCACACGCAATGAGCCCGAAAACGTTTTGCAAGCGTTTAGGACGCTTTTTATGGGAAAGCAAAATGAACGCATGCATCAAAGAGTCGAATCTTGATGTCATGCCTATCAGTCCACCATCCTACCGGCTGCACCACCATTGTACTCCTACGGCTTTGCACGGCTCGGCGATCCTTTCGGTACAGTGACATAACACAGGGGCATTGGTCCCGTAACTTTGTTCCCAGAATGTTTAGCAGGTCTGAAACGCAGATTTGAGACGCAGCGTTCGAAACTACCTACGGCAGTATACATCTTATCTTGGATGGCCACTGCGGCCAAGTATCCTTCCCTTTTGGGATAAGTGCATCTACGATTGAGATCACTTTGCGTCTATTGTCGTGACCTCAATCGTACATAACCATATGTTAATTAAGCGCCTCTCCTCAATCGTACATAACTTCATCTTAGTAATGAGAATGATGGCGAATAATGAAAATGACGGGGAAGTGAAACTTCAAGAAAATTAGTTCTCTTGAACGGTAGAATTTTCACAAGAGAAAAAATTGAACAAAAGAAGAATTCAAGTAAAATGTAAAGAAGTCTTGTCCAGTCCGAGGAAGAAGAAGTATTTCAGAGCGAAGGCTGCGGTGTCAGTTGGAGCGGTTGGGTAGGTACAGAAGTAGCATAGTACAAGGGTTGTACGGATTGGAGCTGCGTTGAAGCTGTGGGTACCTCGTGAATTTTCGGTCGCAGTAGAATGTGTCGCCAGAATACATAGTAAGGCTCTGAGCGAGGCTTCTTTTCTATAGTCAGTTGTTGCATATGAATCACTTATCCACCAAGTTGAACAGTCGCTGATGAACTCTCTTCAATGCGCCGGATTTAGCCTGAAGTGTTGTAATGCTCTGTGAGATGTGTGAAAGGGCCTAACTGTTTAGCCGAAAGGCGTTCAATGACATTTCAAAGACGAGATGCCCCAACATCAAACAACTACGCCGCTTCTGTAATTGTTGTTCGATATCACAGATAAATGAAAATCCAGAAAAAGACCAAAAGAATATTTTTTACATCCTACACGAATTTCCTTTTTGAATTATTGAATTTCTCTATTCACATGGTAATGAAAGTTCAGGAACCGCGAATGTTAAAAATTCTCCTGTCACATCCCTAATTTTCTACTAAAATTTCATTTTCTTACTGCCATCGTTCTCATTATTAAGATGAGGTCATGTACGGTTGAGGAGAGGCGCATAATCAAGATAAGTTTCTGTGCAATTGAATTAACTTTGCACCGAACCTCCGTCGCAAACTGTGGAGCACGGTATTAGGTCCTTCATAGGGAATCAGCATTCAGCAGGTCTGATCGATCAAACTAAGCCTTCCTTCGGATTTTTCTCGTTACGACTGCTATTTGTTTGGCATGAGTAATACTTCCTGTTCCTAGGGAGTTGTTTCAAACTCCCGCTGATCTTTGGAAGGAGACTACGATAAATCGATTTCAAAGTATTATATAGAGTATAGTTTCAAATGTTGTCTACGATTGTAGAAATTAAAACTGCTGAATGAGTCAAAAGTCGAAAGCCCTTGCAAAATGTTTGAAAATAATGCCAGGTGAAATACCCAGTTGTCCGCACCACACCAAGCGCCTCCGTGGTACCGAGAGAGTGATCAATAGATTGAAGTTAGATACCCCCTTGTGTCCGGTTTTCTATAGCCTGATCGAAACTCACAAGTCGTTATAACGTACTGTTATGAAGTCGAAAATTCTACCGTTCAAGAGAACTAATTTTCTTGAAGTTTCACTTCCCCGTCATTTTCATTATTCGCCATCATTCTCATTAGTAAGATGAGGTTATGTACGATTGAGGAGAGGCGCTTAATCAACATATGGTTATGTACGATTGAGGTCACTTTGACAATAGACGCAAAGTGATCTCAATCGTAGATGAACTTATCTCAAAAGGGAAGGATACTTGGCCGCAGTGGCCATCCAAGATAAGATGTATACTGCCGTAGGTAGTTTCGAACGCTGCGTCTCAAATCTGCGTTTCAGACCTGCTAAACATCCTGGGAACAAAGTTACGGGACCAATGCCCCTGTGTTATGTCACTGTACCGAAAGGATCGCCGAGCCGTGCAAAGCCGTAGGAGTACAATGGTGGTGCAGCCGGTAGGATGGTGGACTGATAGGCATGACATCAAGATTCGACTCTTTGATGCATGCGTTCATTTTGCTTTCCCATAAAAAGCGTCCTAAACGCTTGCAAAACGTTTTCGGGCTCATTGCGTGTGCGGAGCTCCCTCACAATTTAGGATTCCTCGGAATAGTAGTCCAACGAATTTTTTTTACCACTACTGACCGAACAGATATGCCTCTCCACTCGAACAGTCTAGATGGTGTTTCAAAATTTCCGGCAGCTTACTGCACTTACGGCAGGGGATGATCGAATGACTCATCTGACCAGAGCCCTCTTTGNGAGGGATACGGTCCACACATCCTTGAAATACTGCCCGCACCTTCGATGAGGTTTCGCACGTTAAATGACATTGTTGAAGAAATACTGTGGAACAATAGTTCATCTATTTGTGTGCATATATGATTATCTGCTAATTCTTGAGATGAACGCTCTCTCGAAAGCCTTTTCATAAGGTAAACGTGGCGATGCGGTGTGACATGATATTACGGCCGTACACAAATCCTGAAATTATTTGAGCCTTGCATTGGATTTATCCCCGATGGGTTTTCACTGCTGAGTTGAATGCGATGAGGTTTCTATTAATTTTATATTAACTTATCCTTCCAACTTATTTGCTAATCTCCATCGGTCCGCTTATTTTGCACCTGATAGTTGCAACCACATAAGACATCGGAAGTAGTCAATAAGAGACTTATTCGAAGGCTCATGCCCTCTCGCACTCCCACACAATTTCCGTAGACGGCGCTCTGTCGTGATTATACAATACGTGTTTCTCATGTATGACAGCCATAAAATTGAAGTTCACGGACAGATCACAAAGATGGAGGCCGCGTTCCCTCTCTGGGACCTCTATATTCCCACAAACGTAATAGGTTTCTCTCTCGAAGTCATTGGTCCATCGTCGCTGTTATTATCACACGACCGCAGAGGATCATTGTTATCGTTTTTCACTGACTCAACTTCCTCGCAGTGGTTAACGTACTTGTTTTCATAGCCTGAAATGTATGCTTAGAAAACTCCTTATCATATCCCGTTCCCTCCTAGATGGTGCTCACGTGATATGCTGCAAGAAAGTCCTCCATCAAATACGATGGCACCACCTTCAGCCGAATTATTTCGCTGGCAACATGATGAAGAGCATTTGATCCAATCACACATCTGGGTTCTTCCTCCTTGGAGCCTCTAGAGCTTTTTTTGAGTGATGTTTAGAATTCCTGCTCTGCTTGGATGGAGCTCGCTCTTATTCAGTCGGTGAGGAGCAAGAAAAACTTCCCTTGTAATACCTCTTCAGTCGTCCTAAATGGTGAGGGAGCTCCTTATATGCTCCTAGAGCCCAAAAAGTTTTCCAAGCGTTTGGAGCACATTCATTGAAAAGCAAAACGAGCATTTGCATCAAGGAGTCGAACCTTGATGTCATGCTTGCCAGTCCACCATCCCACCGACTGCGCCACCATTGTTCAGCTACGGCTTTGCTCGCACGGTGATCCGTTCGGTACAGGGTATAACACAGGGAGGCACTGGTCCCGTAACTTTGTTCCCAGAATCCTTTCCCAGATTTGAGATCAGCGTTCGAAAACACCTACGGCGGTATACATCTCATCTTGAATAGCCAGTGCGACCAAGTATCCTTTTCTCAGTCGTACAGAAGTTCCCACCACAGGTGCGGTTGGCTAAACCGTAAAACGAGTCATATAGTAACCTGCATTCCCAAATCAGCGTATACTTATAGAACGCATCGGCAAAACTGAAATGATGGATCTGTGCTCCAAAATGCTGCAACTCTCTGCGCCGTGTGGTGAACCGACCTGTCCTAGCTGAAGAATTGCACTACACATGCTAAAGAGCGATGACGATGAGGCGAATGCGATGGGTCAGGAGGGGAGGACAAAAATTTAAATAATTTAATTCGAAAAGGGATAACATAAACCGTATGAGACCACCTTTTCTGAGTTGCCGCCGCTCGGCTTGTCACTCCTCGGAGCAGTGCACGAAGCGCTGCTCTTTTCAAAAACACTCGTCTCATCTGCCAGTCCCATCCACGAGTTTTTCTTTCTTTTTCGTCTATCTGAACGAACATTTCGGCACGAAATGACCATGACTATATAAACATCCGCTACATTAGGTTCTCACATCTTCATAATCTGCCGACATTCGCTCTTCGGCAGTATGCCACGTGTTCAACCATCCACCTGCATGCGGCTTTTTAAGAGGATTTAAACGATCGTTTGCCTACAACTCGGTATCGCATTAAAGATAATGCTGAGAAAAAAGTTAGCAATCACCTGTATAAGGAAGGTGATTCCATCTCCTTTCTTCAGATCCTGACACACTAATAAGCTGTCAATAATGCGAGATGAAGCAGCACCTGGGGTTACTGCTTCGGAGTGATAAAAATGTTCATCATCCCGTTCCACTAACTCCATCTCCGCAAGGTCTAAGATGTGAAACATCAGAAAACACATGCAAAGTTAGAGTCTAAAGAAACACAGACATGGGTAGAAAGATTACACACGGGATCCGCTTCTAAGTACAGAGAACCACTTTGCAAGTAAACTTCAGATTACCCATACAAAGTAGACCTCGTTCGCAAACGTAGATTGAAGGAGTGTTGATTTCCGGACCACATGATGGTGGTGGTACCATTTGACAAAACTCCCCCACTGCTTATTTCAGTCTTAGTTAACTATCTCTTATCGTCTGACAAGACCTTCTAATTCAGCAACGCACTTGTGTCAAGCGGTTCCACGATAGCTGGGCCCGCATTCTACCTCTAACAACGTCAAGGGAAAACGAAAAATTGACTATTATATGTAGCGCGACAAGTATGTCTGTTGGTTTGTCGGTGTGTACGTGTGCGTTTGACAGAAAATTCATAAGTCCTGTTCCCGTTGACCTGAAGCGTTCAAATTCTTTGGAGTACAGACGGCAGGATGGGAACGTCGATGATTGTAGGAAGTTACCGATCCAATTGCTTTGCACCATAAAATTATTTATTATCGAGCCGGCCTGTTTCAGTGGTAACGCCAGCGTTTAAAATCTGACGGAGATCGCGTGAGCTAGTGAAACAACCGCACCGCCACTTTTGGTGCATGGTCTGAATAAGCCGAATATCACAAGACACAAAACACGCATCCCATCAACGCTGTGGAAACTACTCAGTCAGGGTCGAGCATCACACAAAGATAGACTGATAAATGAAGCCTAAGACAACTTAGAAAAGCGCTAGCAGGAGAAAAGAGAGGAATATAGATCATGCAATGACAAGTACGGTAAAAAAGACTGACTACTCAAAAAACAACCAGCACTTAAATCGCGACCGAAGCCGACTGCATTGGTTACATGTCAACAGCCAGGTTATACCAGGTAAAATGAGCAAGAAACAATGTGGGTGTCGAGCTGTGCCCCAATACAAAGAGTGCTCAGAGCTTGCAGTTCCATAACGTAAAGAGCGTGGATCTCCTGATCCAGAATTGAGCAAAAGGCATGAGAAGAAATAACTTTGACATTAACTTAAAGGCACAGTTCACGATAATTTTGGGTAGTCCAGATTATGATGAAAAATGGACGACAAGATCGATAATGGTGCGATGACGGTGGAGAAACTGCGTGAATCGGTGTTTCCAAACTAAAAAATGGCTTCGAAAAACCGTTAAACATGGGGCTGGACGAGAATGAGTTCAGAAAAATGAAGAAGAGTGGGCGTTTGGACGAGCCATACAATGTGTCTCACTGCGTACGTGTGGGTCCTGGTGCGAATAACCGACTATGGCAAGCGAAAATTCATTCATTAATAAGCATAAGTAAACAAAAAATCCTTACAACAGCGAAAGTTGCTTACCTTTTTCAGACTCTAGGAGTAGGAAATTGAATAAGGGATCGCGGCAGCAAGAAGAATAGCAGAGGAAAAAAGAATGGGAGAAAAACATCGTCTCATCACTCGGCGACAGCTGATTGTGTGTGGGCCCTAGAACGAAAATCTGCAATCTGTATTGTCTCGACACTCGTCTGACCGTCTGACGTGACTTCGATCGAGAGGCGAGAACGTCATTGACGTCCCCGCCCATTGAATTATCGTGAACTGTGCCTTTAACCCATTGACGATACCTTGACGCGTATGCGCGTCAAGCCTTACAGACCGCGAGGGACCGAGCGATGCGCATGCGCGTCAAGGTTTTGCCACCACTCCTTTTTTGCGAAATCGCAGCTTTTTGGAGTTTTCCTGTATTTATTCAATAGACAAAACATTAAGACTCCTACAAACAACGTGGTCCATGATCGGAGCAAATATGATTTAATCCAGCAAAGGTTTTCCAAACCCTGTAAAATTCTCACCTAAAACTGGACTTTGACTTCTTTTTCAGAACAAATACATAAATAAATCATAGAATTAATTATAAGTAATTAGTAACGAGGCACAATAACTTCAAGGGATTACGTTTCTATGCGACAAGACTTGTGTTTTTTATCGAAACAATCAATCCAAAATAATTTCCTGAACCTACTGCAATGGGTGTTGACCCTTTTTGTTTTTTTTTTGATGCCCTAGCAAGTCCTTGCTCTTTGGACATTGCTGCGTAACACTCTACACTCCTCATCCTGTTGATTCCTTTCAGACCTCCAGGTACCTCCTCCAACACATGTCGCATGGAGTGACAATGATGGCTCGAAGTGTAGCCACAATCAACATTTAGCAGAGACCGGACCACTTCTACTTTAAAGTCATTAAGCCTGAAATTTTTTACCACATCTTTGTACAACTTCCAAGCGTTTACCACTCTAGCCATTCTATAGGTGTTGCTTTCAAGATGTTCCTTGTCGTTGATGTTATAAGAATTTGCAATTGGCCAGGCGACAATGTGGCGCACGAGTTGTCTGCACTTGTCTTAGCGAGGCAGTGGAAATTCGCATATTCCAGGTTTCACTAATGGCAAGCAAAGTTTCTCGCTACCCCCAGTTCTCCCTTTCCTACAGCCTTCTAGGCCTCTAGGTGGCAATTCCCTGTCTTTGCTTTACAAGTGCATCAAAGCTGTTTCTATATCGCTAAGAGGGAGCAGACAAGCAGAGCACCACCCTGTCGACTACTCTTTTCTTTCACCAACATAATGCATTTTTGATGTTGCCTCTCAGCTTTGGCTTCCAAAAAGTGCACCTCGTGGGACATCTTGACGCGCATGCGCGTCAAGCTGACTGCGCCCGCCAAAACGCTCATGTCCCACGCGGCCGAAAAATCCAAAACGCGCTGTCGTCAATGGGATAAGCTACAGTAACTCATGAAACACTACTAATATATCAAATTTCGGCACAACTTTGCAGTGGAGCTGCCGGTCAATAGTACACACAAGCTTCGCTACTGAAATCTCCTGGTGGCACTGGAGACTTCCTCGAGTTCTGGGTAGAAACCTAGTACGAATGTGCATGTCGGCATATATGTTTGCTAGTGTGTGTGTATACGCCCGGAATTTCATGAATTCTGCTCCCGTAGACCTGGAGAGGCATCAATTATTGAAGGGGAGCGATTATCGGCTGGAAGGAGACCTTGATCGTAATCTTAGGATTATATTTTGCAGACGAGGCGCAGTGTGGGCGAAATGAGCGCGACTCGTAATCAGTAGGGAATGAGCCAAGACTCGAACACGCATGATTCAAGCAAAACTCCGCACTTCTCCAGGAAGAATACGCAATTCAATAATCCAGATGGTATTATCCTTTGAAACTACCAAATGTTGAGAACACAACTCCCTAATAACTTAGCCTGCCACCAAGTTGGGCAGAGCTGAGACCGAAAGTCTGCTTCCCATAAACGTTGTGAGGAAGGAAAAAAGTGAAAAGAAGCTAGTTAGGCATAGCAGACATGGCAGATACGGAGTGCAAGAGAGTGGGAGGAGCTGGAAACCAAAATTGACAATCCTATCCAAAGACGTTCTAGATCATGCACAGTTATACACAGCTTTGTGCGGTAGGTAGTGGCTAAGGTGATGTTGGTCTATAGATCGATTTACACCGATTTGTTGTGCACATGATCGCTTATTCACGACTTCGTCCCCTTTAGACATGTGGTGCTCAAACTCCAATGAAATTGAGAAGATGTGGCGGGAGTATAGCTGAAACGTAGCGATCCATGATACTCAGCTGATAAATCGCACTACTAGATGAAGTTTCAACGATTATTTTTTGAGCCAAGAAGGCAAGGAGGAATGACAGGCGCTGGTATGGCATTTCAACGTCAGGGCAAAAAGGGCCAGAGCCCGGCGTGAGCTCGACGAAACGATAGGTACAAGTGTCATAGCTTACTTAGTTACGTGGATCTGATGACGTATCCCTAATGAAATTTATTATTCGTAACAACACCGTATCATTGCACGTGAGCACTAACAAAAACCGTTAGCTTCTGTCTTTCGTGATCGCTATCCACGCTAGACTTAGAATCCGACGAAAATGGCGATGTGAGGAATCGCTCAGCTGCAGTTTACGTGATCGGCGGAAACTTCCTCCCTTCTCACAGCAGGCTTACCCTTAGATCGTGAAGGTCTCACGGGAGCCCTTTCGACTGTTCTTCTTGTCCATGTGCCACAATTTCTTCTCATGATTGACCATCCCACCAAAGCTTGGCGTTTTCACAATTTTTTCGTTTTTCAGTCAGCTAGGGTTCTTATATAGGGAGGTCTACTCCTCGCTGACAGGACCGCATTCGCTTCGGAGCTGTCAAAAGCTTTTTTATAGTTAACAAAGGCTAGGAGAAGGGGAAGTGGAATTCCCAGCAGACTTCAGTTACCATTGCGAGCACTTGGATGTGGTCTAAGCAGCTAAACTCCTTCCGGAATCCGGCCTGCTTTACAGTTACATCAAACGTTCGCGCTATGCGGGTCAGAATGATCTTCGTGAACAGCTCGTGAAGCACACTCAACAAACTTATTGGGCGGTGGTTGCGGTGACCAGTCTCCCATTTTGTGAAGTGCAACCATCCGAGAGGTCCTGCACCAGTCGGGTATCCTCTCCTTCTGTCGTTGGGAATTCATGTGTGTTGCAAGGAGCCTATGGCGGATTCCAAATCTATTTACTTCGCACCTTTTTCGCACTCACTCGTCTATTGGGCGAACTCGCCTAATTGGCTGCTGACCTTTCTGCCAGACCAGACTCAGGTGTAGCAAAATCGATTGTATCACCTGTATCACCTGTCGTCACATTGATCATCGACTCCTTCGAGCGGGCGCCAGTAACGTCTTCATTCGTCCCTGTCACGAGCCGGAGTGGTCCGGTGTATCGTCCTCGCTTCAGGGACACGTGGCCCAGCATTCCTTTCGTTCAGAGCTTCCGTGAAAAAGTCTGACCATCTCGTTAATGACCGTCCTGGAGTTCGTCTAACGTCCCGAGGGGTCAGTCAGTAATCGCCTTGTATAATTGTCATCACTATATCGCATAATGTGTCCGGCTATCTGATTTCGATTTCTTATCGTAATCATCGGCATCCCTGATCTTCGTTCGTTGACGGAGCTCGAGATCCGGATTCCCTTCTGTATAGGGAAATTCCGAGCACTATCCTTTCCAAAGCGCGTTGAATAACGCTGACAGCATGCTCATCCTGCTTTCGTAGAGTCCAAGTCTCCGAGGCGTACGTCAGAGCAGGAAGGACACCAGTGTCGTAAAGGTGGGCGCGGAGCCGCATATTCTTTGTCTTCTTCACTGCTCCCTCAATATTCTTAAATGCTCCCCATGCGGCGCGTTTCCTTCTGTCCAGCTCCGGAGCTAGGTCGTTCATCACGTTGACTTCACGACCTAGATACACATAGCTAGAGCATTCGGAAATATTCGTTCCGTTCAACGTGAAAGGAGCATCAGTCACCAATCGGAGCAACAGGTACCAATCCGTTTTTCATGAACATCGTCTTCGTTAAGTTCAGTCTCAAGTCGATCCTTCCACAAGCACTATCAAACTCGGCCAGCATTCGTTTCGCCTGCTCGATGTTGGGTGTTATAAGCACGATGTCGTCTGCAAAGTGGAGGTGATGTAGGAAGCGGCCGTCGACCTTCACTCCCAAGTCTTCCCATTCCGAATGACGCATGATATTTTCGAGAGCGGCACTGAAAAACTTGGGCGAAATGGTATCGCCCTGCCGGACACGTTTCTTCACTTTGATAATGACTTCCTCGTAGAATGGTGAAATCCTGGTCGTGAACTTGTCGTAGAGCTCAAGAAGCATCCTTATGTATGGAGTAGGAACTCCCTGGTTGCCCAGGGCTTCGATTACCGCTTCTGTCTCAACGGTGTCTCTAGTTACATTGTCTTGTCCTTACCTCACACTATTCTAAAACCTGTATTAATAATCATAATAATAAAAATAAAAATAATAATAATAATAATAATAACGATCACGTGTCCAATTCATAAAATTAATATTTGTTCACTGAGACTTGCAGAGCCAACCAAATAAGAGAGGTTGCCCCACAGGCGAAAGAGTGGATGTGCAAAAAAGATGCGAAGTAAGTAGATTCGGGCGCAAATACTGCCTCCCCCTCCATTTTGTGGAGAATGACCATTCGCGGCTTACTCCACTGGTTGGTATGTTATCCTTCTGCAGGTAGGAATTCATGTGTGTTGCGGGGAGAGCATGAAGTTCGTGACCACCCGCACGCAGTAGGTCGGCTGACATCTTGTCGGGGCGTGCAGAAGTACCCCTTTCCAAGCTCGCAATCGCAACTATCACCACCGAAGGAATGATCCGAGGACCTGTTCCGCCAGTGGGGATTTCTGGTTTTCGCGCGTATTTCGTGGATAGGTACAGGTTGATGTGAAACCTCTGTTTATGATCCTCTATCTCAAATCTCAATGATGTATGTGTTCAGTCCCTCTTCGAACATAAAAAAGAAATGCTGTGGTCTTAAAGATTCCGATGGCAATTAGAATGATTCTGTTCAAGGCTGTCCCCAGTAGTCTCCTCTCTCTGTATAGCTGAGGGTCTAACAGCACTACTTGTCCGCAAGTGATATTTGCCTTCAACCTTTCAAGATGCGTGGCGTTCTGGTCGAGCTTCGAGTTTCTTCATTTCCTGAGAAGATCCTGCGTCGCCCCTGAAATGCCAGCTGAAGAGCCACTGAGAAAGCTTGGCCTGTTCAGCACATGCTTTCGTCACTACCATCTGATGTCGGCTTGTATGTCCGAAATCTTTCGCCTATGTTTCTACTGCTCGACGGAGTTTTCCATTGGAGACTTCATCAGTTTCCCTCATTGATATATAAATAAACAAATAAACAAATAAATAAACAAATAAATATCTCCTTACTATATATAATCCATAAGTTTGGTGTGCCTGTGTGTGTATGTATGTATGTATGTATGTATGTATGTATGCATGTATGTATGTATGTATGTATGTATGTATGTATGTATGTATGTATGTATGTATGTATGTATGTACGTATGTATGTATGTATGTATGTATGTATG